GGGCAATAACTTTTAACTTCAAACTCTTCTTTACTCCCACCTCCTTTCCCAGCTCGGACTGGTGGCTCAGTGAAAGGCAGCAACCAGCTGCACAAATCGTTGCCACGCATGCTCCACATCCCGCTCGGAGGCGTCTGTCGGGTCTTAGAGTCCCACCGGCAACAGTTTCTTCCCTCGTTTTACACTTTCTTGGACTGCGGGATCGCCGTCTGACCTCTTGACGGAGTGAGGAAAAGAAAAATAGGATTTCCTGTTTAGACACGTGGTTTCTATGGCAACGATTATATCAAATCGCGCTGCAACGATCCATGAAAATTATGGGCGATGAAAACGTTCGAATGCCGGCAATTCGAAGTAGCAATAGTCCCGCGCACAGAGGCAGTTGGCTCGCAGATCAAATTATATATTGCTTTGCTGTTCAGGGCTTCTTTGAGAATCTTCCCACCTTTACAGTTGGCGTCCCACAAAAAAGAAACTGTCTTTCATTAAAACAAGGACAGCCAGAAGCCCGGTGGCACTGGCTTGTACATTTTAAACTCTAAGGACCAACACTTCTAGAATGAAAACGGGGGAAGGGGGATACAGTGGGAAATGGGATGATGAGGTGATCTGTATGTCATTGCCTTAAACTTGAAGCAGAGAAGATGTGTGAGAAGAGGGATTAATTTTTTGACATTTTGCAGCAGTGATCTCAGCTACTGACCTCAAAGCAGGACTTGTTGCCTCAGGGATGCTGCTACCTTTAGAGGATGCTAACCTCAGGCACACTCAGACAACTAGGAGGAGGAGGAAGGAAGGAAGGAAGGAAGTGGACCTTCTCCTTAGTACTCAGACAAGCCCTTCTGTCTCTCTGTTTCTCCACCAGAGAGTGGTGAGCATGCAGAGCAAGGCTGGCAAGAAAGGAACAAATCTATATATCTAATTCCCAATGTGTACCCTGTGTGCGGATATCTAAATCCGCACATCGGGGGTACCTGGGGGGCAGGGAGATTTTCCTGCGCACGTGGGGCAATGCTCAGGTGTGCAGAAAAATCTGAAAACTGTAAAAAAAAAAATAGGGGGATAATTAAATCTCCCCAAAAAGTAAAAGAGCATCCCCTGTGCATGCGCAGGGAATGCTCTTAGCACGGCTTCACCGCTGCTGCCACCAGAGAGGGGGAGGGGGAGAAGGTTTGGCCAGCCGGCCGGCAGCTGTAAGCCGCTCAGCCCTCGCTGCCATCGGGGAGGGAGGGGAAAAGTTTGGCAGGCCAGCGAGGCCTCGCCGCCGAGGGGGGAGGGGGAAAGTTCGGCCGGCCAGCAAGGCCTCACCACCGCTGCTGAAGGGGAGAGAGAACATTTGGCAGGCCAGCGAGGCCTCGCCACCGCCAGGGGGGGGAGAAAGTTTGGCGGGCCACCAAGGCCTCGCCGCTGCTGAGGGGGGAGGGGGAGCTAGGGCTGAAAACCAGAGATTCCCCTCCACAAACACACACAACCACTATACATACCTTTCAGTTTGCCACTTAGAACCAGAAGATGAGACAGCTGGGTTACCAGTTATGTGACAACCTAAAGTAGGGGTGTCGAACCCATTTGTTATGAGGGCCAGATCTGACATATATGAGACCTTGTTGGGCCGGGCCATGTGTGTCATAAAATGTAATGCCAGGTAGCCAAGATATAAACTTTATAAAGGACACAAACACAAAGGTTTTTTTTAACTTAAAATAAAAACATGCTTAAAACATTAGCACTCTTGCAATATTTTGTTCATTTAACACTGTTTGATAACTGACACCTCTTGCTCCAAATTATTGCATCAAAATGTCTGTGCTGTTGCAATCTTGAGTATGCTGTTCAGGTGTGTATCTGTAAGCTGCAAACATATGATGACGCAGCAGCAACAGATTGGAAGAAAAAGCAGAAGACAGCCAGTTCCACTGTGGCCCTGATAGAAGCCCTCTGGGGGCCTGATTCGGCCCCTGGGCCGCATGTTTGACTCCCCTGACCTAGAGTTCTCCTGGAATTACAACTCATTTCCAGACCACAGAAATCAATTTTCCTGGAGGAAATGGCAGCTTTGGCGGGTGCACTGTACCACACAGTCTAGGAGAAATGGAAGTCCTCTGAGCTCCCCCACCTCTCCAAACTCCACCCTCCCCAGGCACTGGTGCCAGATCTCCAGAAATTACCCAAGCCATTGTCAGCAACTCTATGAGACAGAGAAAGCTGCTTCCACTCACTTGTCTACCCACCAAGTGATCAGCAACTTTCTGTCTTCACATTTATAATGGACATTTATAACTGGATTGTAGTCTACTCCTGCATCTTACTGTATCTTCTCATTGTTTATTAGTATACCTTGCCTTAGGCATAGGGTTTCTTGCCAACTCTGGATTGGGAAATTCTTGGTGATTTGGGGGTGGAACCTGGGAAGGGTAGCATTTAACGAGGGGGGGGGACCTCAACAGGGTATAATACCATAGAGTCCACCCTCCAAAGCAGCCATTTCCTCAAGGGGAACTGATCTCTGTCATCTAAAGATCACTTGTAATTCTGGGAAGTCTGCAGGCCCTACCTGGAGGATTGGCAACCCTACTTGGGCGGCTTGTTGTTCACATTTTCTTTTAGTTCTGAAATACAGCATTATTCATTGGCTGTCTAATGCTGTATGAGTACATTGCTTTTATTCTATAACCTGCCTTGAGTCTCAGTGAGAAAGACAGGTTAAATGTGGTATAGTAGAGTACAGTAAATACATACCAAAACAAAATAAACTCTACAATAACCAGAAAAAAGGAAATTGCCTTTCTCTTATTTAATCGAAACAGGATGTTTTTGAAACCATGCATATGTCCTGACCTAGATAGAGCTAAGCAGAGTTGACTGATTAGTATTTGGATGAGAGACCGCCAAGGAATTTCAGAGTCGCTACGCAGAGGCAGGCAATGGCAAACCACCTCTGAATGTCTCTTGCCTTGAAATCTAGTTGGCTGCGACTTGACGGCACTTTACACACACACGTATGTCCTTGAGCTGTTATCTTTGGGCATATTTGGTTTTAAACATCAAAAGTGACTATGAGCTTCAAAAATATGTTAAATATCCTGAAGATAAGTACAAACACACACATATAGACTCAGTACATTTCCTGTTTTCCTGAGATTTTATGCCTTAATGTAAAAGAAGCAAAATGTGCTTAAAGATAGTTCTATTATTTCACTTCTGTTTCAGTGATGGGTTGTATAGTGTGAACAAACACTTCTGGCCATAAGACAGGTTTCCCATACAAATGCTTGGCAGGCTCTGTAGGTCTAATGAACAGTCCCCAAGGAGTGTTTCTTTCTACTGGAGTGTCAACTTTTGTAAAATTTCCATGACACCAAAACTAGAAAAGACCTTTAAAGGAAAGTTCCCAGCCAAGTAAAGCAGTGCAAGGAAACTGGATGTGTTAGCAATTCACCCACAACTCAGAAAGTCTTTTTCCATTTTGTCCTGTATAGAGCGAGCAAGCAGAAAACATCCTAAAGGAAAATTAAATTCTGTTATAAGTGAAAAGGAGAGGGGAAAATTGTTACTGATGTTACTTTGTCATTCTTTAAAATACAGAACTGAAAAACAAAAAAGTTGAAAGATATAATGCGTCCTTCAGTGCTGCAGTTATTTATGTATTTCCATATCCTTGAATATTGAAAGCACTCCAGATTCTTCATTGGTGTGTTCAGAAATATAAATTGCAATCTCTCCTTATATATAATTGAATAGTGGGTGCCAAAGTTCTAAAATGCCCGCCTTTAGTGTTAGGCTGGAAAAACTGCCACTCAGAGGACACTGGCTGGGTTGACTGGCTGCTTTCTGCAGTCCCGCCCAGCGTTCCAAGGTCATTTGTATATGGAAGCTGATTGGACCACACTCCATTCCACACCTCAAACTCACCACCACCCCCGCAAGGCAGTTGGAATTTTCAGTTGGGAGAGGAGAATGATGTCAGCTGCTCCCTAGGCAGAGGCTGGGGGGGGGGGTTGTAAAACTTAAGACAGACAGGCAGATAAAGGTTGGCTGATGGTTCCCAACTCCAGGTTGGAACTCCAGGACATAGGGTTCCCAACTCCAGGTTGGAAACTTCCAGGATATTTTAGGGATGAAGCCTGCTGAGGGTGGGATTTGAGGAGGAGGAGGAAGAGGGGGACCTCAGACAGATACACTGCCATACTGCCCACACTCCAGACAAGCTGTTGCCAGTCTCCAGTGACAGCTGGAGAGATCTTAAAGCTTTGGTGCTACTTCAAAGTGTTGCAATTTATCAACAGAGTAGTGTTTTGGAAAATCTTTAGGAATTGTTTGGTGCATTTACGGTGGGGCTCCTGGGGAACTATTGTTGCCAATCTTGGCCCAGCAGCCATCAAACCATTCTCTTCAACCCCCTGCTGTGCAGCTGACTTTCCCCTAGGGTTGCCAATCTCCAGGTGGGACCTGGAGATCTCCCACTGTTACAATTGATCTCCAGATGACAGAGATCAGTTCCCCTGGAAAAAATGGATGCTTTGGAGGGTAGCCCCTATGACATTATACCTGCTGAGTCCTTCCGCCCCCCCCCCGCCCAATGCTGCCCTCTACAGAATCCACCCCCCAAACCTCCAGGTATTTCCCTCCTTAGAGCTGGCAACCCTACATTCCCCTCAGTGCCTGTTGGGAGTGGGTGGTGGGGGAGGGGAAGGGAGCGGGCGACTGGAGGCA